CAAGAGCAGCTTGCAGCTCTCAAATCTCTTACAGATCTTGAGTTTTGAGATTTCCTTTGTTTTTAATGTTTTTCAGATGATGTGGTGTTGAAAATAGATTAAACATGTAACATATGAAAATGAATGAGATATATATGATAACATTTGTCTTTTTACAGTCAACTCTTACAGTTGATGATTAATTTATTATCTCTTTTCTTTTTCTTACACTTTTTCTTTATCTGCTAGTCACTACTCTTACACAATCTCTATATAGTACAGCATTCAGTGACTAGATTTGACAGCTTTCATCTTTGTGATTCTGTCTCACACATTATACTGTCTCTCTTCACCCGCTCAGATCACTACAGTAAACAGCTTATCAAAACTAATCTCACTCAATCTCTGAGTGTTCTCAGAGATTGAGATGACTTGATTTCACATATTCACAGATGTTTCAGATAGTTCATCCTCTGTGATCTCTGTAATTGAACTGATATAAATAGTTAAATTCAACTCTGAATTCCTTTTTCTTCTGCAATCTGACTCACATGCAAGTCTGCTACTTTAAGATCACTCTTTGTCACATTGCATCTGCTGTCTGCAGCATGTTATTATACAATCAGCTACAGTCTTATCACTTATTGAAGTGTGGTATTCATCTGATTTCTTCATTTCTTCTCATTCTTTCCTTGTAATCATGAAAAGATCAGAATAAGTGAGATTATCTGATTCATAAGTATCTATGATTTCTCTTACTTTACAAGACTTTTCAATTATAAGTCTCTTCTTTTTCAACACTGACAATAGTGCTGCAGATAATCATAATTCACTCAGATCTTACATTCTTACTTTTATAAGTCATAAATCATTGATTAAGTTGCATAAGACTCATTTCTCTGATTCTTTCAATGCATACATTCTCAGAGAATGTGATTTGAGTATTTTATATAACTCAAATCATCTAGGTTGAAACTTCTCAGAACTCTCATTGTATACAAGAACTCATGTTCTTATCTTGAGACTCAATTTCTTAACAAGTGAGTCTTGTATTCTTTTTAATTGAATTGCTCAGTTCAGAAGTAACTCATTAGCTTTTGCATGTGTGTGACTGATCTCTTTCAATCTTGATTTCATATTCACAACTGTTGTATTCACAACTGCTACTACTGTGTCTGTAACTGCTGTTTTCTCTCTCATCTTTTTCAGAGCATTCTCCAGGATGCGCGGATGCAATCCATACAACAGGTAGAATGATGAACACTTGGAGACTGCATACTGTCAAATCTGTGTGATCAATAGCGCCTGCTCAAGATATTCATTTCATAGTCTCATAGGCTTGCTCACTAGATATTTCATCAGCATGTTACTTAAGATTCTATTCAAGCATTTCATCTTTCTATTCATCTGCAGATGATATAATGTTGTTCTACAATGTCTTGTCTGTAACTGACTCATAAAATGCCTCATCACTTCTTCTACAAGGTTCACATCATTATCAGTTAGAATCTCACACAGCATTTCATAGTTGACATAGATCTCATCATGTAGAAACTTCATCATCATCTTCTCTGTCATCTCTGGAACTGCTTTCATGACTGACCAGTCAGTAGTGTAATCAATAGCAGTGATTATTCATCAATTTCTATTTGACATTTGTGACAATATGTCTATGAGATTCATCTCTCATTGTTTGAACAGTTATATCATACACTTCATCTGATGTTGCACTTTCTCACATTCTAATCCTTTCTTCAATCCTTTCACAACCTGACAATTCAGGCACTCATGAGCATACATCTGAATGTCCTTGATCATGCTTGATCAGTACACTCTTGATTCAAGTACACTCATGAGTTCAGGGCTTTCTAAGTGACTGAATTTCTTGTGCATGTGAGTTATCAAGTTGTGTCAAAATGAAGATTCTAGATAGAGAGCTTCTGCATATTCTAGATCACAGTAAAGCATAACATCATTTTTCAATTTTCTCAGCTTGAAGTTCAGAAGCATCTCTTTTACTACTTTCATAAGACACTTGTCATCTGACATCTTATCATTCTTCAAGTGAGAGATCATAGTATTCACTCATTCTGTTTCCTTGCATTCTCTCAGCATGTTTAACATGAATGTCTCTTATACCTGGTTTGCAGAACTCTCACCCATGAAATCAGGTCTGTAACTAATTGCATCAGACATCACTGCATCTGATTCTTTTCAGTATTTGATATGAAAATCATACACTTGAAACTCTGAGATTCAATGTGCTAAGTGTTTGAAAGATTTTATCATTGATTGTAGATAGACAAGGCTTTCATAATCTGTGATCACTGTTGTTATATGCTCATTATCAATATATCTATTTCATAATATCAGTGTGTGCTTGATCACTAGCAATTTCTTTTCATGCACTGGGTAATTGAGCTCAGCGTCTGATAGTTTTCTACCATCATACATCATCAGGTGCAGCTTGCTGTTCTTACTCATCTGTAGAAGAGCATCTCTGATAGCTCATTCAGATGCATTCATCTCAATGTAGAAAGATTTATTATGATCTGATTGAATAAGCACTGAGAATGTTATTATACATTTTCTCAGTGTGAGAAAAGCCTCTTCACACACAGCATTTCAGATGATTGAATAAAACTTCTTCTTTTATAGATTTACATTCATTTCTCTTAAGAGATCTGAGAGTGATGCAGATATTCATGCAAAATTCTTGATGAATCTGCAGTAGTATGAGATCAACTCAAGAAACTGTCATATATGGTGTACATTTCTCAGCCGCGGCCAATTCACTATGACATTCAATTTCTCCAGAATGGGGTATATACAGTCATCACTCACTACATGTTCTACAAACTCTAACTCTTTCATTTCAAACACATACTTGATTGATTTGACATAGAGCTTATACTCTGCCAGAGTTGTAAGCACTTCATTGAGATGCTTCAGATATTCATTATATAAGTTTGAAAAGACTAGAATGTTATCAAGATATACAAGGTATAAGGTTTCATTCTGTTTATGAAGAATTGTATTCATCATCATTTGAAAGATGACAGATGCATTTATCAGATCAAATGACATTGCCAGGAATTCAAACTTCTCTCATTGTATATTAAATGCAGTTCACAGAACTGACAGTTCATCTATATAAATCTGCCAGTATTCTGAGAGAAGATCAATCTTCAATAGATATCAGATGTTTTCAATCATATTTAACTGTTATTGAATCCATGACAGTGAATATTCATTCTTGATTGTAAGCTTGTTGAGTGCTTGATAATTGATACACATTCATCACTCCTCATTCACCTTTTTCACAAATAGAACTGGAAAGCCTCATGTGCTTGATGAGGATCATATAAGACCACATTCTAAAAGGTCTGTGATCTGACACTTCTGTTCTTCAAGATGCATTTGTGACAGGGGATACACATTCTGATTGACTGATTTTATGTCCCCCATGTCAATCTCATGTATGAATCCTCGTTCCAGCGGCAATTCCAGTGGAAGATCTGTTCAGAAGACCTTCTCATACTTCTTCAGAAGCTTCTTCATATGCTTGTCCTCTCACATATTCTTTATCTTGATTTCCTCTGCTTCTGAGTCCTGTATAACATACAGAATGCTTTCAGATGAGGTCTTGTGAATCATTCTCTTTACTTATTGATGTGTAAGCAGATTTAATCCTTCTATATCAGAGATGTGAAATGTTCTTCTCATATCAGTTAGTAGGATCATATAAACCATTTTCTTTCTATCAGTCAACTGTATATAGCATGTACATCATTGAATCTGCAGATTGAACCTTTAAAATCAATTGAGTTCAAGAATAAGATTATATTTCACATTCTGCAGCTCTCACACTCAAATATAGCAAGATCATTCTCTGAAGTGCAAGAGAACTCTTACTTTTGCAGATGATATCAGATATCAGTTATCAGATAATCTTATGTATCAGAGATTCTTCACTCAGCAGACTCCTTTCAATCTTTGAATCATATAATCATTAATATATTGTATAGAAGCTTCTGTATCTGCTAACACTTTTGCAGCCATCTCTCAATTCTTATTCAAGTACTCTCTATACATTAACATTTCAGGTCTCAAGGTATTGAGGTGAGTGTTCACTTCATCCTTGTCTGCACCTCATTCAGAAGCCTGCTTCTTCTTTGCATTCACAGAATTCAGAGAGTCATTCAACACAGACATCTCTTTCACTTTGAAGACTTTTCATAGAATATCAGTGAGTGTCTCTGAGCTCACTGATTCTGCTAGTTTTTTGACTGCACACACTGAGTGCAATCTTTTGCATCATGATTTTAATATCTGCAGTTGAAACAAGCTCAATGCTTGTAATACCAAGGTTTTCACTCAGAAGATCTCTTTTTCAGAAGATTTAATGCTTTAGTGATGATATTCAGATCTAGATTCATTGTGTCTGAGTGTGTGACTTGTATTATAGAAGTCTGATTACTCATTCTTCACTGAGACATACTCAATTGCAGTATTTTCTGTCATAATTAACTCACTTATTCTCATACAATGAGAATGTTGTATGCTTTCTTCACTGTGCCTGACTGTGAGATTAAGCATTTTCATTTCACTCTCAACTCAGATATAAGATCATGAATAAAGATCTGTAAATAGAAAGATGTTGAAAGCTTTTCATTCAACACAAGATAGTATAAGCTGAAGTATATGAAGTATAATGTAAGATCACTCACTTATCTACACTCAGTGAAGTATTTATAATACTTGTCTTATACATTCACTTTCTCAAAGTTATGTAAGATTCATTTGAAAAACTCATTCTATGTTTATGAGAATGAATATCACTCTGAGTCTGTGAGATTCATCTTTTTATCAGTTATTCATAATGACTTCACTTTTCTATGTAGAAACATGACAGATCTTAAGACTTGTTGAAATTCTGTTGACTGTCTGTCTGTGAGTTCACATTCAATCTGATAATATGATTGCATCTGACTTAGCCAGCTGATTGCAGCATTATTTTTTCAGTCACTATTGAAGCTTGATGACTCTGACAGATCTTCTGACTTGATATATTTCATGCTTGAATTCTCATCCTGTACAGTGATCTCTGATAATATGTATGCTTTTGAAGAGGTTATGAATGATTGTGATGAGATCTCCAGGTTCAGTGTAGTCATCTGTCTGTATAAACATTCAATCTTCTGCTGCAGATCTAAGATCTGGTTTTCTCTATTCTTATTGATGATGACAATTGTGTCAGCGAAGCTCTTCATAGTGGATACTTGATTCACAGTGAATGTCAATTGTTGTTTGACTTCTGTCTCAGCCTGCCACTGCATACACAAGGCCTCAATCTCATTTAGAATTCTTGTATGTGTACAGAGCTTCAATTCTGGTTCAGCAGTCTCAGCTGCTTTTCTTACTGCTTTGAGTAAATCCTCTGAGAGGTTCTGCATATCTTCTGATTCAGGTAGCAGAGAAGGGTGTTGTTTGTATCAGCTAGAAGAGATATTCATTTCAGTGGTTTCTGGTTGATTGTACAATGTCTATCGTTATATTGCTATATCGCTGTATTGTTATATCGCTATATCATTCTATCGCTATATCATTATATGATTTCTGTTATCATCGTACGACTCCGGTGGTGGCCACCCCCCCCTTTTATCCTTCTTTTGAGTAGGGAGTGAACTCCTTTGAATCTGGTTCACCACTCCCATCCCCTTTCTCACACCTCATTCATTTGTATCTCATACATGGCATTCACCTGGGCGTGGAGTTTTCCCCCAACAAGCAAAGCAGCATCAATTAAATGCTCTTCCACTCACCACTCTTCATACACTATCTTTTGAGACATTCTAGAACCACACTGGCATGATAACTACAAATCACTTCATAGATGGAATTATCACACCCTGAAGGAGCCTGCACTTCTCACCAGTTTTTAGACATGCTATCAGATGTGATTCAAAGGTTGCTTAAGCCAGCATACAATTACAGGCGTACGCCGGCTTCTTATATATTGAATCTCATACACTAATTTAATTAGCGGCCGCTATGGCCCCTTTACACTTGTACGCGTACGCTAGTAGTTCGGAAGCGGCCGCGGTATTATCCGACGGTCGTACGTTCTTCCGAACCACACTACAATTAATATAAAAGACTCTATTCTGATTTATTCAGATGACTCAAAAAATGAGAACTTGAATAGATTAGGCACAGGCATTGCTTATACTGAAGATAATATCAATTTTATCTCAGATTTCTGAAATCTAGGCTCTGAATGTGAAGTCTTTGATGCTGAACTATTTATAATAGTGAAAGCTTTCAAACTGATTGAAATAAAATCTCATAAAAGAGGAAATTGTTTAAAAGAGACATGAATATTCTCTGATAGTCAAGCTGCTTTAAAAAGACTTAGAAATAGTCAGATTCATAATGATCAAATGAATCTTGAACTGATCTTAAACTCTATTTTGAAAATTCAAAAGAGAAGAATATCAAAGCTGATAATTCATCTACACTGAGTTCCTGCTTATATGAATATTCATGACAATGAATTGGCTGATTCAGCTGCAAAAAAGAGTGCAGAATTAAGCAGATCTATTCAAAAGATTGTATCCTGGTCTTTTATAAAGAGAAAAATAAAAGAATCTTGTTTAGATAAGTGAAATGAAAGCTGACAGAAACAAAAGAAGAGTATACATTATTCAAGATTTGAAACAAAACTCAAGTGAAAATCTTGTTCAATTAAATGTAAAAAGAAAATATTCTCATCTATAATACAGCTGAAACTAGAACATGGCTATTTCAAATCTTATATACAAAGATTTGATGATAGATTTGACTCAATAGAATGCTCATTCTGCAATACAAATGAGAATTCTGAGTATATTGTAATACACTGTGCATTATACAATAGTCTCAGAGTCAGATTGAAAGAGAAGTATGATCTAAATCAATTAAATATGAGATTCTTATTCTTAACTGAGACAGGAATTAAATACTTAATAGACTTTCTATCAGAAACTCAAGCAGCTATAAGAAAATAGCTAAATTCAGAATTATCTGAATATGAAGAGAAGGAAATCAATCAGATATAGTCTGTTAAAACAGCTATACACTCTCTTTTAATAATTTGTTTTGTTATAGTCTCTCTTTACTTTATCTTTTTCTTTATCCTTTTCTTTCAATTTCTTTCTATCTATCTATTTAATGTGTCTATCTTTGAGACTGTGTTCTTTTTCTCTTTTCCTTTGTCATGATATTATCAAATGGTTTCAAAGTATCAAAAGATGTTAAAACACTGTAATTTGTAAACAGTTTTTGTATTCTGGGCTGGAATTTTCTGATTTTGCATATCTGAAATTGATGAATGTATAATAGTTAACTTTACAGACATAGGAAAAACCCTGAGAACTAAAAGTTCTCAGGTAGATGTCATAGTCTCTGACTGCATACATCTATAATTGAAGAATAATAATAATAATAATAATATTCAGTTCATAACATCTGCATCATGATTCTTCAGTGCAGGTGTATGAATATAATGTCTTCTATCACTGTTCTATATACTCTTGAGCTTGATAAGACAGTCATTCAATGTTCAGAGCTGTGTGCAGAAATCTTTATAAGTTAAGTCTTCATTTATACTTATAAGAGTCTGTAAGAGTTTGAAAGTTAATATCTTCTTGAGCATGCTAATCTTTATTTGATTCTCTTAAGATTGATCATCTGCTTCTAGAATCTTGATATTGAAGTCAGAAATGAATGTTATAAGAGAAGTGTTTCTCTGTTAAGTACTCTGTAATTAATCTAATACTTTCTATTGTATAACAGTGTCTTAAAACAGAATATTAAGATATCTTATGATGTTGTCAGATGTTTATAACACTGATTTACATACTTTCATTCATGAATGAAACTTCTGTTTCACACAATCTTTCAATCATTCATTGATATATCAATCTTGATTGATTAATAAATCAATGACATCTTCATCTATACTTAGTTTTGTAAGCATTTTCATTCTTCATGATGAGTAGAGAGTGAGATTAGAAGTATTGAAATATGTAGAAGTATCTAAGTGTTCTTTCAGTGCTTTTATATTTGATTCTGTAAATGTTGAAATTATATGAGTTTCTTGTGATAATTGTTGAATCTCTTTATATTAATGTTATTGAGTTGTATACATATCAGCTATCTGTTGCTGTTGTAATTTCAACATTACTCAGAGTCACTGTGACATTATATCTATACTCATGTTTGAGAGTTTTATATTATTGTTAGACATGATTATATTGATCATCAGATATATAATATTTAGAAAATCTGAAGAAGTGCAATTGTATTCTTATATATCTAAGTGTCAGAACTCTCAGGTCTTTCACTGATATTCTCTTTGTAAGATCTTACTCTCTTCATAAGATCTTGTTATAGAGTTAGAATGACTGACAAGCAAGCTTCTATCTGAAGACTATCTGAGAACTCAGTGTCTGCTTAACTATTTGACTGTTTCTCTATTTCTTACATGTTGTTACATGTTCAGATATCTCTTAATAAATAATCATTTCTGATGAGGAGACAATGTGTGAATAATTGTTTTCTAATAAGAAGACAATGAGCATTTTTATAGTGTAAGAGGCCTACGCTAATCAGATCAGTATAATATGATAGGTCTTATATAACAATGATAAAAACACTAGAGAAGGAAAGAAAGAGAAAGTGCGAGAATCAGTGATTGAGATGAATATTTATACACATATGTGGTGGTGTATGCAGTGGAGCTTCGGGGTGGAAGAATATACGCGCGTTCGTAGCAGCTGAGGATCGGTGATCGAGAATGGCCGAGGATCAGAGCATATGTGAAATCTGTGGAGTGTAACAGAATAGTCTATATAATTGATCAGAGTGGCGGCTGAGGATCAGCAATCGAGAATGGCCGAGGATCGGAGCGTACATGGAATCTGTGAAGTGTAACAGAATAGTCTATATGATTGATCGGGCGCAGCCCGCCACATGTGTAAATATCTTGAGAAAGTGTAATCAAAGAACTGAATATACTTATTAAAGAGTCTGACAGAGATGTCTATACTCTTTGTACTTAAGAAGAACAGTAGACTATGTCTATGCATAGACTACAGAGACCTTAATAAGATGATGATTAAGAATCACTATTTATTATCATTAATTAATAAGATGATCAATCAATTATCTGAAGTAAAGATATTCTCAAAGATTGATATACAGAATGTCTATCATAGAATCAGAGTTAATAAAGACAATGTTTGAAAAATGACTTTTCATATCAAGTACAGTAATTTTAAATATCCTGTTTTATCTTTTAATCTTTGTAACACTTCAGCTATCTTTCAGATCTATATAAATGAGATGCTGCAGAGTCTTGTTAATATCTTCTGTATAGTATATCTGAATGACATTCTAATCTTCTTAAAAACAGAGAAAGAACATGATATCTATATTTGAGAAGTGTTGAGTCACTTGAGACAGTATTAACTCTATGTAAACACTGAAAAATGCTCATTCTACATGCAGAAGATTGATTTCTTAGATTATATTATTAAGATGAATAGCATTTCAATGAACAGAAGCTGAGTCTTTATCATTAAGAACTAGTCAGTGCTGTGAATGTACTGTAAGATGCAGATATTTTTAGAATTTGTGAATTTCTACAGATGATTCATCTATACATATTCATGAATTACTGTCTCTCTTATAGATCTGTTAAAGAGAAGAGTGAAAGATAGAAAAACAGAACTGTTTATTCTCACTCAAGATACTATACAGGTATTTATAGAATTAAAATAGGCTTTTATAGATGTTATAATACTGAATCACTTTAATTCTGACTTACTCAGTCAGTGTAAGACTGATGTATCTGAGAATGAAATCTATGAAATCTTTTCACAGTTGACACTGAAAACCTTTCAACATTGAAAGAATCAGAGAATAATCATCTCTGAGAATACAGATAATGAAATGTCTGTGAGAGAAGACTTTTTCACAGAGTTTATAAGATACTGTGAATAAAGATCAGTGATCTTCTTTTTCAAGAAGTTATTACTCATAGAAGAAAGATATAATATTCATGATTAAGAAATATTAGTAATTGTCAAATTCTTTAAGATCTGATGACATTATTTTCAGAGTAGTAAGTACTCAGTATAAGTTCTCACTGATTATACAAATCTGCATTACTTCTTGACAATAAAGAGCTTGATAGAATGTCAAGTCAGATGAGCAGAGCTGCTTTCAGAGTATGATTTCTATATCTGATATTATTCAGATCAGCTTAACTCTGCTGATATACTGTCTAAACAGTCTGATTATAATATCATTGATATGAAGAAGAATTCTATAAAAGAATCTCTGTCATTACTGCAGAAGAAGCTGACTGCAGAGAGTTAAAATTCTCTGAAGCTTAGAAACAGTGCTGATA